AACAATTAACAATCACATCAAAACATAAAATTTTGCTTCTTTTTCATTGCTCCCCATATATCATGCTTTCAAAAGAAACCAAAAACCAACATATAGACAAAAGCAATACATAGATGCATCCACAGCGAGACCATCAAACCTTAGTAGATTAACACCAACATAATAGTTACTCTCCCTGTTTGAGTGCAATTAGTTTTACCGTAACATGAAAATTATATTCTGAAATTAAATTAGTCTTACCAATATGTTTATGCAGTACCGGTCCATTGAATGTGAGGGCCAGAAGTTCAACGAAAATTACGGGCCGTATAACAAGTATATTTTCAAAATTTAAAAGATTTTTAGGGGAGGTAGCTAGAACTCACCACAACTTGACTATAATTCAACATCATTACCATTACGTGGCAGATAATTCTTACCTATAAAGGCTGGTGTAATCCATATATTAATTTGCGCCGGACGCCCAAGCTTCTTGTGCTTCCTATCAGAGTCGGCACTGAGTTTATGTAGTGAAAATAAAGTAGGTTTTCTACATACTGATACATTTATTGTTTTAGATAACTATAACTTATTAAATACATTTTCTACTTCTCATCAAATCTACCTTCTAATCATAGGCTTAGTTGGCGAAAGGTAATGATTACGCAAAGCTAGGCTAATATTAACAAACATGTTATTATGAAAATACCTCCTTTCATGGGTATATGTTCCACTCCTTAATAATACTATCACTATTACAAGAAACTCTTCACTACCATGCCATCTCTCTCTTTTCCGTAATTCTGAACCCTCTCTATATCTCCTCTAAAAATCTTTCAAACTTAAAACAAAACAGAGATAATGGAAGACTTTTTCATCCCTCTGTCTAAAGAAATTTAAGCGTTAGTGGTCGAACGTGTGGATGATAACTCCTTTGACGATCTATATAGACTGAGAGCGACATGCAAGTCTATGAAGGCATTAACAGAGCGTCCCAGAGTTTACTCATCTTTTGATGTGTTTAACTTCCATTGGTATGTACAGACGCCTCACTTGTTGTTAAGAACTTGTATACACTGAGGGAACCCCGAGTACACTTTACATCAAGGGTGTATAGTTTTTCTTCATGTTCGACCACCAAGAGATTTTGGGATGATGATGAGTCTTTCTCTCGTTGCACAAGGAAATTCGTTGATAAGATAGACATGGTGGTTAGACTGGGGTTGGGGTATGGCTCACAACGATGTGTTTGTAAAGAATATGGATTGTTTCATGTCATCCATAAATTTCCTTATACATGTCAATGTACTACTTTTTTCGACCGAGATTGGTATATTTGGCATATTGAGAACAATAAGGGTGACAACATGTATAACCGTTGCTTTTAGATCTGAGAGTTTTGTCCTTTTTACTGTGATTTTTAGCGGATGATAATTTTCCGGATAGTAGGCTTTGGGTATATTAACAAAAACAATATTTTTATTAAAATATATTTTAATTTTAAAAACATTGAGAAAAAACTTAAAATTAAAAATAATAAGCAGATTTTTATAAACTCTAAAGATTATGTAGAATTTTGTTTATTAATTTTTGTTGGTTTCAGTTAAAAGAATCACAAAATTTTTAGTGAACACAAAATTATTTATAAAATTAAGAAATATAATAATTTATATTTTCTTCTTTTAATTTTTATTCCATCTTGATATAGTTGAAAAAACCTAAAATAAAAATAACTGGCACATTTTTTTAGAGTTTCAAATTTTAGTATTATTACACTAATTAATTCTCTCATGATAATTAATATATCTAAAAACTAAATCAATTTTTAATAATGATAATTAGTTGTGATATTTTTATTTATTAATAATAATATAGTTCATAAAAATAAACACAAAATCAAAAATTTTATTGATGAAAATAAGATTTATGATTTATTTGTTTTAAAAATATTTTTATCTCCAGAACGATAAATTGATGTATCTTTCTGTTAATTTAAACAAAAATCTTACAAATGATAAAAACGATAACTTGGTAGGTATGAAATTCACTTTTTCAGTTTCTAAAAAAATATTTTACACATATTAAAGATGCATTATTGTTTGCGATTAGTTATTTGTACAATTTAGACCAAGATATTTAAAAAATATATTTAACTTAATTTTAACATTCTCTAACTGTTCATTACTAAACTACATAGATTTATACAATTAAGAAAATATTTCAAAAACAAAATGAATATTATAAATATTTTGACGAATCCAGCATTTAAAAGGAAAAATATATCAACTTATTTTTTGTTCAAGTTTATAACGTTCAAATCTATGTCATGCTCCTTTTTGATTTTATGTTTACTAATTGGCTCTTTTCAACTCAAAGCAACTATTTATTGCGAATCAGATAAAATAAAAACAAAAAAATAGTATCAATCGAACGGTTGTTACAAAGGGTATCAGTTAACAAAATAGAAGAAAATGTAGTGTGTGTTGTGGTGTGACAAAAAATGTGGGAAAAAAAATCTGATCACAATCAAACAAATTGCCTGGTAAATTACTGACTTTCGTTAGAAATAAACAAAAATCTCAAGGACACCGTCTATGACTACACACAATCCCCAGCAACCTCGACTTGCTCATCTTCGTCATCGCCGCGGTAAAATTTCTACCGACCTCGATTTGCTAAGCTTCATCATCACCGCCGAAAGATCTCCACCAATCTCGACTTGCTCAGCTTCATCATCGCCACCGGAAAATTCCACCGGCCTCGAATTGCTCAGATTCTTCATCTCCGCCGTCTTCACCGTCTTCTCTCCACAAAAATTATGTTCGTTCTAACCACCGTAGTATCCTCAACGGCATCGTTTGGATCCAGACCAACTCTTGCTACCCTATCACCTACTGATCTCGATCTCAGCATACATATCCAACGACGAAACTGTCCTGGAGAAACCGCCTGCTCGGGTCTATATTATCCTCAGTCGTCATATTGGATACCTTGCTTTTCTTCTTCTTTTGCCCTTCTCTCACGATCCTCACATTGATCTTTTTCTTGTTTTCACACACTTCACTCATGAAAGAGAGACCAGTGTTATATTACCTCAGCAAATGGACATCACCAGCTTGAATCGGCAGACACGATGAAGAAATTCACCCTTGTTGGAGTTGGTAACTAGCCGAGAATATTCTTCTAAATTTCGTTGAGGTTGTTATGTTCATTGCTGGGAGCTTGAAGATATATAGTCGCAGCTTCCGTCGTCGATTACCAAGGAGAGATGGTAAGGTCGATTGAATGCTTATGAGTGGACAACTGAATGCTTGAGAGTGAGATGAGTGGATTAATCATTTTAAGATCGGTTAAAGAACGTATTAATCAGAGCGGTGGACGTTACCGAGAGTTCATCGGCGATATCGTAACCTGAAACAATCAACAGCTGCAATGAAAGACAAAACCCTTTAATTTTAGGGAAAATTGGAAAATTGGGACACTTTGAACTTTTATTTGTCCATATAGGACTTCTCATATTTTTGGCAATTCTGAACATGTTTTACCCTTTATTGATGAAAAAAATAGTAAAGTAATTTTGAAAAATAGAAAAAAATATGAGAAGGCTAGAAAACATAAGCATGACAACATATATGTTTAAGTTTTTATTTTTTAAAAGTGGAATCATATTTTATTTTATCTTCTAGCTACAGATAGAATACTCGTTCTGGTTATCTACTCAGTTTAGAAATCATATACTGGGTGTTCTTGCTAGATAGACCCGAGGTATGAAAAGTAATATAACATTTCTTGTCTATTCTAACTAAGGTAGTATTGGTAACGTTATAATCAAGGCATATGTCTTTGGTGTACGTGAAGCTAGATACCAATTTATAACCAGAAATTATTGATATACCTCATCCAGATTTCGTACCATAACCAATTCAGCATGTTATCTTATGTGACGCTTGAGAAAGAATATGTTTTCCACCTTTTCTACTGTGTTCTGTCTTAGGTAGTATACATATTCTAGGTAATCCGAAAAATATGGAAACTTCCATATTCGGTTGAAGATATTTCCTAAATATCTTAGAGAATATTTTGTCCACGATTTTCTCTCTTCCTCACGGGATCGATCGATCCCAGAAAAATTCAGTCGATCTCGACGGTCGATCTCGATGATTATACAAAAACATAAAAAAAAAACGGAGAAGAAACTGATCGACCTTGTCCAGTTCAGTTGATCTTCACCGATCAATCTATCATAGATCGATCGATCTCTATTTTAGATCGATCGATCCCGATCCCAGATAATAGAACCGAACCGAATATAATCAAATATTTCTCTTTGAATCAGTCTTGATCCTCGGGTGTGTTGAATCATGAGTCACCTTGATACATAATGTCTTCTTCGTGTACGAGTATGTGTTGAATTGTCACATAATTATGTCAGAGTGAAGGCGGAATCGGCGGAGAAGATGATGTAAAACAAAATTAGGGTTATCGATTTCCCCTTTGTACTTTGTGTCCCGATTCTTGTTTTTTTTTTGTTTTTTTTTATAATTTAAATTTATAATTCCCCTTAATTGATTAATTGAAAGGGTATTATGGTATTAACAGATTTGAAAATCTTATTTTCCCAAAAAAAATTCTAAAAGTCTTATATGGACAAATTCAAATTGAGAGTGTCCCAATTTTCCAACTTTCCCTTAAATTTATGAGGCCTAAGAGTATCTTTAACATGCGTAGTTACGCCCGTATCTTAATATTATTCGAATAAAAAGAAAAGGAAAATTAGCTTTAATAGAAAACACTGTGTCTTGATTAAGGATTACAAGATACGGTCTTTTCAGACACGTGTTGTCCTGCTCCTTCATGTCTTCTTCTTTCTCTCCAAACGAATCTCCCCTCCACACAAGAATCCAAACCGCAACGCTCCTCTCACAAGCCCCACTAACAAGTAACAAAATATTCCGTCATAGCTTCCGAAAGGATTGGTTGTTTACAACGCTAGGAGGATCCTAACGCTCGTGGAGTGGATTATGAACGAGTTCTCAAGGGAATCTCCAGAGTATGGGATGGAGACGGTGTCGCCGCTGCGGTTGTACGCCGGGAAAGTTTTGGCCGCAGTGAATCTTGGGATTTGGTCGTTTAATCTGTTTGGTATTCTGATTCCGGTTTATCTTCCGAGAGCGTTCAAGAGGTATTACAGTTCCAGCAAGGAGGTTTGATTCCGGTTTAGATCAATCTTATCTTTTTTTTACCTTTCTTTTGTTTCATCAGTCTGGTTCGGTTATGGGAAAACTCGTGATCTAGATGTGAATCATCGGTTACGATTGCAATTGGTTGGTGTTCATGGTTCATGTTTTTTTTTTTACTTAGAATCAAGATTCTTCATAGCTTAATACTTGACCAGTTATATAGAGTATTACAATTGTATTCAGTTCCATTCATGTATGAATGTATTCGAATGAAGAAAGAGGAAGATTTCATCTGTTTTCTTGTTCATATGCTGAGGATTGAGATAAAAGTTTTTTTGAAGTCTTGTGACACTTGTGTGTCTTGTGTTCATCTTTTGCTTTGTTTTTTTTGTTCATATGCTAATAAATTTTTTTAAAGAATCCCTAATTAAGAACCTTTCAATGGAGCAATTAAATGTAGGGATTTCTTACATTGTCTCTTAAATCACTTTTTTCACTTAATACCATTAAAAATATCATAAGAGACCCTAATTTGGGTTTGTGCAATAATCAAGTTCTAAGAGCAACATTAATACAGGTTCTGGAGGGGTTTCTGAACCTGGAGGGTTTACAAAAAGCAAGAGAAACGATCACAAAAGGTTCATGACCGAATTTGGTGGGTTTCTGAAACTTTTCGCGGATCCCACTACCATGTGGCGGCCCGCGATTGGTACTTTTAATTTTTTTTTATTTTTTTTTTAAAATCAGACAAAGAAGAAAAAATAAAAATAAAATATATAAAGAAACCTATCTGGGTTTCTGCGTTAATGATGCTCTAACAAACCTAAAACAAAAAACAACATAAGAAGAAATTAAAAGTCCAAATAAAATACAAAATCCAAATCAATAATACTCCAGCGAATAAGTGAATTTTCCCAAGGAGAGAAAAAACTCAACTTTGTTGTATAAGATGCTCAGTTATAACATTTACTATTTAACAAACATATGCAGTTCTGTTATATACAGTAATACAAGGTCACATTGTTATAGCAAGTGACACCCTGTTATATCCTGTACTATAAGACTATAGTCAATGCGACTGTGTGAACCCAGTAAAACTAATACACAAGGTATTACCGAGAAATAATGTGTAACTGATTGAGATGGTATCATAATGAATCAGGGCTACTAAAAAATTATGGAATTTGCCCTATTCTTCATATTATCACCAAACAAAACTCGGCGAACGCGGTCAAAGGAAACTGGCCAGATGGGAAATGCTGGGAAGGATTCTGAGAACTTGAACGTGTTTCAATAGCGAAGGGACCAAGAAAGAACAATCTGGATTTTTCATGTGTTCTTCATCCGAAAAATCTTATTTTGACTCTCAAATTTAAAATTATTTAACTCTTTTAAATCAAATCTATGAAAAGGGTCGGGTTAGTCTGGTCTAAACTCAAATAACTCATGTGTTAACCATCAAATAATCGAATAGGTTGGTTTTCGAAAATGGTTCAATAATTTGACCCAATAGATGGTTTCCTTAGGCAATGCTTTAAGATTTGTTGAATAAAACTGTATGTTTACTGCTTATTTATATCAAATAGTATTTTTAGTTTAAGAACAATTTTAGTTGGAATTTATTATCCAAAAACTCTCAAAATACATATATATATATATATATATATATATATATATATATATATATATATATATATATATATATTAGTATTTAATTATGAACTTGGTGTTTTGCCCTCACGTGCGGACATAATATTTTTATAAATATTTTGAAGTATACACATTATCAGTTGAAATCAAATTAAAATAAAATAATATTCATGCATAAAAATAATTAATAAAAATTAAAAAATAAACTCTTTATATATAAAAATTTCATCATAATATAAATACTTTTTATCATGTAACATAAACTTTAAAACACTAATGCTTTTGAAATATATAGTAATAAATTAAATATTAAGGTTTTTTACATATGAGCAAGTTTGTCAATAAAGTAAAAAGGGATTATATTTTACTGCGTAAAATAAATTTGAAAATATTAATCTATGTATTAAAATTATATACAATATAAATAGGGTTTTCGCTTTTAGAATTTTTTTTTTAAAGCCAGTGTACAATTTGTTTTTTAAGAATAACACAACATGAACTATATTTATAACATGATGATTATTGAATTTTTTTTAATTTATGATTAATTCTATATTAACAAATATAATTGTTCATTAAAGTCAATAAAGACTTTATAACATAATATACATTATTTTTAGATAATGATAATTATCAAATTAATAAAATTCTTTTTTGATTAATGACCAATTATAAATTAATTTCCTTTTAGTTTATGGTTAATTTTGATATACTATTTTTAAATAGTAATAATCATCCAATCAGTGAAATTTGTTTTTAATTAATGTGAATTATATATTAATTCGTTTTAGTTTATAGTTAATTGTATATTAATAAATTTAATTATTCATTAAGAGTAACAATTAATTATTAATTAAAATCATAAAACATGAAAAATAAGTAAAACTTTCTAAAATCATAGAGAACATGACAACTAAGCAAATTTACTTCTCAAATAATAGTATAGATAAATATCTTAATTTTACTGGAAACCCAATTCAAAGTATCTTAATGCTAATCTAAAATATGTTAAGAAAGATATTTTGAGTTGATTCTCCATAAAATTAAAATATTTATAATTAAATATTAATATTTGTATATAATATGTATTTCGAATTTTTTGGGGGCAGAAACACTTGGTGGTGATGCTCTTGACCTATTCCAGCCGCTATTATTTGGCTGACTGCCATCAACTTTAACCAACCGGACTTCCAAGGATTTGAAAAAAACTTAAAAGCTTGAAAATAATATAACCTGAGGGACCAATGAATTATTGTGAAACGTCAACATTCTTTATCGGTTGGTCTGCCCTATGGAAAAGAAGTTACAGAAAGAACTACTTTATATAAATTTTATGAAGTATTTTAAAAAATAGTACAATAAAAAAATAATAAACAAATAAATACTGAATAGAATTTTCAAATCATATTTTTTAATAAAAATATTTGGTTTGAATTAGAGTGACAATATTCTGTACTATTTCTATTTTCCAGAGATTAAAAATCTTAGCAAACATAATTTAGAAAATTTAATAGTATACTATACTTCCTATTGTTTTATTTCACTTTGACATGAAAACAAAATAAAGTTTATACTTTAATTGGTATGATGTTTTTATTTTATATATGTATTGAATTTAAGGTTATATTATCATCGAAATTCATGGTGTAACATGTTTTTTTTACAAAAATCATAATTATCTGAATAAGAACTTAATCTTTTGTTTCTAATTTTATATCTTGAAAATAATTTTTTTTTTTTTTAAAAAATCTTATATCTTCTTATATTTTTACATTACTTATGATATATTTATTTTTCTTATGTTTTTTTTTTTGTAGTTTTCCTCAGTATTTTGTTAGTTTTTGGGCTTAAGTTTAAGAATCGAAAAATGTTAAATTTATTTATTTTGGTGATTTTGCTTTGATGAAACATATGATCAATATTTTCGAAGAATCTTTGAAATTTTTATTCTTATGAATTTTGCGTGTATATATATATTATATATATTATATATTATATATTATATATTGTATATTATTTATTATTTATTATATATTATATATATATATATTAATTTTTATATATTGTATTTTTGTTTATGTTGTGCATTTCATTGAATATAACTATTTATTTTCATTTAGATTTTAATAATATTAACTTTAATTATATATTTTTTTGGTCGTGGTTTTCATAAATTTTCAATTTCTCTAGTTTGAATTTAGTGATCCAAAAAATTTCATTATATCAACTATTTTAAACTGAAACTAGATCATGACTCGAGCGTCTGCGCAGGTTTTATTTTTACTTAAACAAATTATATATCTATTTTATATTGTTTAGTTTTATATAGTTTTAAGTTTGTCCATACTTATTTTATGTGATTAAACAACATAAGTGTATTATAGATATATGTGCGTGAAACATTAAATTGGTTATCCGAATCCAAACCCGCAAATATCTAAAATGAACCGGAACCGAAATTTATAAACATTCGAATAGAGATGAAATTTTCAAGCTCAAAAACTTGAAACTCAAATAGATTTAAACTGAACTCTGATGGATCCCGAATATCAATCCATAGTTTATAATTTCTCCTACAATGAATTTGGACAATGAAAGTGTAGAATTGGTCAATTTCATAGTATTGAATTTATAGTATTGAAATAACATTGGTTAATAGTATTGATAGTATTAATATAAGTATTAATAGATATAGACTAATGAATTCTCTGCAAACAATTGACATAAATGAAGATATACAATATAGTTTTTTTATAATGAAAATATAATGCATATTTATAAATTAATATAGTGGTTGAATGATATAGTGGATAGACACAGATAAACATTTGAACTGGAAATATTATATGAGATATGGAAGAAAAAAATTATGGTTGTTAGTGAAAAATTATTTAAGAAAATATTTTATTAAAAGTTGAGTTAAGAATTAAGATATTCTAAATAATAGGAGGTCTAACTTTAAAATATACCTAGAAGAAGTTGTAATGTTTTTGTTTTAATAATATATATAATAAGTCAAATTATTCTCATAATTATATGATATCATCAATATCATAAGTTATATATTGTGTCTTTGGTTCAACTCGTAAGGATCATACTAATAAGTCAAAATTATTCTCATAATTATCGATATGTGCACGGACTATGAAGTGGAAATATGTTTAGTGATAACGGACATATCATATTCATCCCAAATAGTTGTTGTTAATGATAATTAATGGGCTAGTTGTTAAAGCATGTCCAAAATTTAATTATTAGGTTAAGAAGCAATGACATGAGGTTGTAATTTTTTAGAAAAATTCAGGGTTATTTCATTTTTGTACTCTTGTTTTAATAGTTTAGATATCATAGTAAATATATTTTCATTATTATAGCTTATA